ATTTGATCACCAACAACCATATACATGTTAATTAAATCTATATATGTATAATTGCAAGCTAACCTCATTTAATAAAACATTTAATAAAAACATTTTCATTTTCCCTCCAAAAGAAGTTACATATTTTTAATTAATTACTCATTAATCTCACATTTAAGAAGGTTTCTTTTAGTTAAACTTAATTAGTTAATGAATAAACTAAAAAAGTTTCTTTTAGTTAATCCCACATTTATGTTTCTTATTCTCATTTATATATATAAACGTGACAGTCATTATTGTTGTGCAGAAACTATATATTATTATTTTTTATTTCATTATGAATTGAATAAGCAATTAAAGTTATAATACATATCATGTTACATTACAATATAAAAAATGAAATTATTTTTTTTGTAATTTAATTTCCAGCCATACTCAATCAAACATATAACTACAAAATGATAAGAAAGATTAGTTTCATAATTAAAATTAAAAATTTAGCTCCCCAAATGGTAAAACCTTATAAATTAGTAGTATAGATACATTTAAATGACATATAATTTATAAACTTAGACTATACGCATAATAAGATGAATTAAAAAAAAATTAATGAATTAAATAAATAAATTATTATTATAACACAGTCTATATAATTATTATAGCAAAGTCTTGTCAATATTATCATTTAAAAAGTTCATTGAAGAAACATATGTATAAAAAAAATCCATATGATCAAAATTAACATTCTTTGACTTTCTATTTGGTAGTAATAATAAAATATTTTATATTACTACTATTCAATAAAATGCATGATTTCTGCATATTTGATTATCGCAATCAACATTCTTTTTTTATAAATTAAAAAGTGTGTTGAATCAATTGTCTCATATTTTTCATTAAAACAAAATAACTGTTGGCCGTGAAAAAAAATATTATTTCACAATTATAAATATAAATATGATTAATTTTCATTAAACAATTCCTCTTTAAGAAAAAAGTGGCGGGACAAATTTCTGCATGATTATAGCATCAAAACATATCTAAAATATCAATATTTTAATGCATTAAAACATACTTTCAGCAACAGAAAAATCATATTAAACGGAAATTGGCAAAGTCAAAGAATGAGAATTGACAAGGCATTGTATGTAATGGCAGATTGTTGCATAATATAGAAATATCAAGCATAATTAATAATCAACAAAAAAAAGTCAAATCTATATGAAAAAATCAAAATTAAAAACACAGCAAATTATGTGGAACATTATCGAACACTATACAATATAGAAAGAAAAATAATTTGATTTCCCTATCATTATCAACATATTCAACTTTTACCAAGACATCCGCCTTTATATTAAAATCGATTTTTTTGCGTAAAAGTTTTAAAAATAAAAATTCCTACAGATTCTTTTAAACATTAAACAAGAAATTTCTAATATGCGATAAATATATCTAAACAGATTTGTTATAAACTTACCTAATATTTCCAAATTTTGAACAAAATACTAAAAAATTTGAAAAACTTCGGCAAAAGACTTTGAATAACTTCGAAAAGCGATTTTGAGCAAGTGTTAGCAAAGCTTCACTTACTGATATGATGAGAAAGACGACAAAGAATTGAACTATTTAGTTTTCAAAATCTGAACAAAATACATAAAAGTTACATATGTATGTTATAAAAAGATCTGAACTGATATGTTATATACTTACATATATATTTGTTAGTAGAGCTGAACATATCTGTTAGAAACTTACATATTTTTTCAAACCCTGAACAAATTAAATACATAAAAGTTTGAAAAAGTTTGACCAATGTCATGTTCTCTTCGAAAAACGATTTTGAAAAATATCTAAATAATTTCGAATTATGTATAAAATATGATATATCTTGAAGCTTATTCACAAAAAATTTCAGAAAACGACACAGATCATTGAAAATAATAAAAAATAAAAACTACGTTTAACAAAAAATATTTCAGCTCATCATAGATTTGTAATATTATCGCCCGATTTTGACCGACCTGTTAAGATTTAGCAACACAGATTAAGAAATCGGGACGGATATTTTATTTTTCGATCACTACTGTTGGTCACAAAAACAACATTTCTCGGATGTCTTTTTTTATTTTTTTATTTTTTAAGCCTTCACCGGGAGAAAATCTCCGATAAAACAGTTGTTTTCTATTGAATCTCGCCGAGTTTGTCGTAATATCGGGTTAAGGATTAGGGTTTCAGACAGAGTGAATAACGAGAGAAGCGCCGACATCAAACAAAAAAAAAATGGCTTACATCACTCTCAAGGAGTTTATATTTTTTTTTTTATAGTCATGTTATCATTGACCTGTTTTATATTTGATTTTGGCTACCCTAAAAAATTAAGTGGACTTTTAATTTGGGCATTTTTTATCATTCAATCAATATATTTTTTTATGGCAAAAAAATTGTCATTTTGTTCAAATGTCTTAAATATTTGGCACATATCATTATTTATCAATCAAATATAATTATTTATTTTGTAATATTTTGCTGGTATTTTTTTAGTATTTTTTTTTTTAAATTTCCTATATGATCTATAGTACAAAATACAATAATTATTTAAACAATTAAAACCATTATATGTCTTAATTTGAAGATATGATTTGTAGTGATGGAAATCTCTCTTATATATATAAGAAGAAGTTATAGGCTCTTAAATTGCGACAAGTGGCATCTTATTTGCTTGACATTTGGCATTTTAATGCACAATTACTAAAATGCCCTTTTTTGGACAAACAAAAAAAACACCACTTAACTAATTTTGAAGATCAATATGGTAAATTGAATGTCTTTTGTATTTTTTAGTATTGTTTACTCAAATACCCTTCTGTATTCAACTTTTTGGGGTTGTGAAAGTCATTTTACATGTACTCTTTTCTTGTATAGGTTTCTTGCGGGATTTGCTCCCTCAAAATCTGCTTGGAGACGTGCTTGTGTCCTTCTGAAAAGACAAAAGGCAAGAGAGATGAGAAAAGCAATTCATTTTCCACCATTTTCAAACCCTAACCCTCTTTTTTCTCTCCAAATGGATTCACGTCAGGCGGCCCCAAACACCACCACCAGCTCAGCCTTCCGCCGCCACCTCAACCACCTTAGAAAGACGACGCCTCACCCGATTAGACCACACCCACCGCCGCCATCGTGAAGGATTCTATCCCTTCACCGCAATTTTCACCAGAAAGCTCTCAACGACACGCATCCCTGCCACCGCCACCACCACTGACCGAAATCAAGAAGTTCACAATTCTCCATGGAGCCGAAAAATAGGGCACCAGCATCCTCCGAAGAATTAGTCCGAATGGGTCCCAAATTATCTTTTATGGCTGCGAGCGAGAGAAGAACTATGAAGAGAAAATCAACGAAATATGTAATCAGATCACCGATGAACTCCATGGACGATCAGATTTTCAGCTGTATTTTGTTTTGTAATTTTTTATTTTTGATGTTTTGGGGGTAAATTTGGAGTATTTTTTTGGTTTTATTTCGAAATTTGAGTCTCCTGTTTATCGATCTTGGTTTTCATTTTGATTTAGGGCCGGCATTTCGGACGAGGTGGCATCTCAGATTTTTAGCGTCGCAACGGATATCAAAGGGGCTGCAAAAGTCAAAATTCGGTGCTTTTCGTCGAGCAATTTCACGAGCAGAATCTTTCTCCATTCATTTGATTTTCTGGTGAATTTCTTATTTTTTTCTTTTACAGTCATTTTTGTTAGTTTTTTTTTTCTTTTTTCTTTTTTTTGACAATAGCTTATGATAAACCCTAGCTAGGGATTCGTTTTGATGCGGCTTTGGTTATGTATAGCTACAGTTTGAACAACAATGGAAGAACAGATTGGGGTGATGTATAATTAAGTTGTTTGTGCATTGATCTTATTCTCTTGTTTGCTGGTGGATTTGTTTTGTTTGATATGTGGTATTGATCATTAGATAGTGGTAAGGAAGCTATGGATGTGTGTATGCATGACCGAACTTCATTTGCTGGTATTTTAGCTGCGGTATATCTTTTTTTTTTTGCAGCGATTATAGAGATGGAGGATGAATTAGCTCAGTACAGGAAATCGAGTGATGCGCCTCTGTTGGAGTTCATACCGAAGAAAAAAAATCTGTAAAGACGAAGTCGGAAGCCATCGAGATAGGGAAGATAGTTGCAGAGATAAAATGAATTGGCTAAGCTTTGTACAATTTTAAAACTCTGCCGATCATCATTCTCCATATACCATACTTAGCAGCGACAAACTCAACTTAAAGCTCGACGATACGAAAAAAAAGTATTATCTATAAATTATTTTTTTTCCCTACTGATATTGTTTGTTGATTTGTGTGTGTACTAACACATTTTTGGTGTTTTTGTTTGTCTATGAATGGAGAACATAAGAGGAAACAAATCCACTGATGACGGATAATTTGTTCGGAATGGTAAAAGCAGGACAGTATCAGATTTCTCTCCACCCCTCATTCAGCATCAAAAGCATCAAAGTGGTGTGGTTGTCTATTTCCCGTTTTTCATTAGGAATATAGAGTGTCTTAATTCATCTACGTCGGAAGTTGTGGGGAAAATAATTTTTTCATCATGTATTAAAAACAAAGAACAATAAATAATAAAAAAGGGAAAGACGTCCTCTTTCTGGCCCTGCAAACTCTCTTCAAAAATCATTGGAAAATTGGGAGGTTAATGTAATTGGCTTTTGGAATATCAGTTCATAAATCAACCATCTTTATTATCTTTCAGTTTGATTATTTCTGTTGCTTTTGGCCCTCCTGCGTTTATTCTATGTTTAGCTCATATTGGTGTGAGGTAATTGAAATTGTCAAATTTGTGAAAAGACTAATGTTATTTATCGATAGATTTGTGTATTTTGAGTGTGATAATTGTAGTGACTGATTGTCTGTTGTTATGTGAGTTTATGAGCGAAGTTAAAAGATATAGACAAAATCCAATATTGCGAGTTAGTTGAAGTCCTTCGAAAAGATTTTCCTTAATTCACACTTTTTTTTTTAATTTTGTTAGTCAAACTCAACTTAGCCTTCTAAGCTCTAATTATTCATCATTGGTTCCTGAGTTTTGCATCTGGGCTTGAGGGTATTTGTTGAAAAAGGAACAATCAAAAGATTATAATATAGAAATTTCCTAGAGCATTACAAACATGCTTGGAACCCGAATCCTAAAAGCCCAATTCATGTACATCAAGTAGTGCAATTGGTAAAAGTTATTTCAGTACATTTTGTGATTGGTTAGCATTTGGAATCATTTCTCTCGAGAAAAGTCATTAGCACTTGATGTTAAGTGCATTTTTCTCTACAAACATACTATGAATTGTCTTGATTGTCAATATTAGCACTCAGATTGTCTATCACTGGATGTATATTAAGAGGGAGTGTTGTGAGAGAGGGAGAGTTTTATGTTGTACCTATCATGACTAAGTTTGTTAACTTTTATTTTTTTTGTTTTTTGGCTTTAGGTGGATGCTGGTGGTCCTTGGTTGAGTGCGCGCTGGTCATTCTTCCGTGAGTATTGGCACTAAGGCGAGTAATGATAATTTTGCCAAAATTTAAACATGCAATTTTATTTTTATAATGTGCTTGGTTGAGCAAGTGACTCTTATAGATTACAGGATGTGAATGTGAATGCTTATGATTTCAAGAATCCTGTTTTACTCTGTTTTGGGCTTTATTACTTCTCTGTTTTCTTGTTCGTAGTGACGTTGTTAGCTTAATTTATTATGATGGTCATTGTCCATTATAGACCAAATTTGAGCTAGCTGTGCGTGCACAACCAATAGACGACAAATTTTCACTGCATACCAAAACATTAAAAGCATCGCCTCTTATCAAACACTATACACTATTGATTCATTTGAGACCATGTCAACTTAACGGGCATAATATATGTAGAGAGCTGCAACAACTGATTATTGCGTGTAATGAGCCCTTTATGGAGCTTATTTTGTTAACAACCAGTGTAATAAATGAACATGAACTTGATTGATCATTACAACTAATGAAAAATTTTCACTGTATTTTTAGACTAAATTTGAGTCCGCCGTGCGTGCACGGCGTGACCCAACTAGTTCTGTTGATAGAAAAACCACAAACGTTGTATATAAAAAATTGTTTAACAATATTTAGTTATTATTTCTTAGAATATTTTTTCAATAATTATATTATGATTTTTATTATTGTTTATATATTTTTATTATTTTTTGTTCTATTATATTGTTTTCCGTGCAAATGTACGGGTTAAAAACTAGTTAACCTCAAAGTGAAGATATGACACATCAATTAATATCACTATGTCAAAGGTTATTTTGTATATAAATGTGTCAAACGAATATTCCCCAACAAATTTCACGTAACTTCTACCTAAATAAAAAAAAAAAGGAAAAAATTAACCCTCAACAGTCAAAATGTTTGCTACAATTTCCTTTTGTTTTTCTTTTCATTTTTGTCTTTTTTTTTTTCCAAACGATAGATATCTCATTCCACAAATAAAACACCAACAACATAATATCCAAGTGCCAATACAAGCCGAATAAATGAGAGTACCACCCACTGGTGGCCTAGAAGACACAAACGCAGGCTAAATACTTAATCAAACTCTACCAAACCAAAGAGAGGTGAAGCAGTGAGAAACCACTGAGCCTTTACCTCCCCAATCAAACTAAAACAGAACAACAACAAACAAAACACTACAACTGACACACACCTAACCCAAAATCAATCATAGCTAAATGTTGACCTAAGACACTCTACTAGCCAAGAAGCCCTGCCAATCCTGAGTAGCAGCTTTGACAAGTAGATGTGCAGGTCTTCTCACTCCCTCAAACATCCAAAGATTGCGTGTTTTCCAAAGCCACCATAAAATGTAAGTTGTGAGTTGTAATCGGGCTTCAGAAATATCAGATTTCTCCATCTCACACACCTCCCACCACCATTGCTTAAATGAATGAATACGTTTAAGACCATACCAGCTCACAGGGGCCACCTTTCAAGTCTGTTCAGCTAACTCACAATGAAAGAGTATGTGTTCAACCGTTTCCCGGGCCTCTCCACACCACCTGCAGGTAATGTCAACCTCTATTCCCCTTTCTTTCAAGTTTGCTTTGACAGGTAAGGAATTGTTACAACATTTCCAGATAAAATGCTTAACTTTCCCCATAACTTTTAATTTCCAGCTCCTATTTCTCACCTTGATATCTCTAGCCAAGTCTGAACTTCCTTGAGGCTGATCCATCTTCAAGAATTTTTCAGTATTAAGTTTTGAATAGGTGGAGTGGACAGAAAATGTACCTTTTGGGTGCAGCTTCCACTTCCATCTATCCTCCTGCTGTGGATTGATAGTCTTAATGCTCAGGATCTGTTCACAGGTTTGTGATGGAAAAGTTCTCTTCAAAATTTCTTCATCCCACTGAGTTTCATCCCTATTCATTAGATCTCTCACCCATTGGATACCTCTGTCTATGCCAGGCAGCAAGTCCACAGGAATTCCATTTCTGTTAGGGATCCAATGCTCATCCCATATTCTTGTTGTCTTCCCATTCCTGATGTCTATTGCTGCCATTTGCTACATTGAGGAAGAATTGATAACCAATTATTCCATAGCCATGATGAGCTGGGTTTCCTCTGAGCTTCAAAGATTGTTGTTTGAGGAAAATATTTGGCCTTAATTACTCTGCTGGCCAGAGAGTCAGGGTCTGAAATCAATTTCCATATCTGTTTAGCAATTAAGGCTGTATTAAAGAGTTGTATATCCTGGAATCCAAGCCCTCCATGTTCCTTTGCAAGTGTCAACTTGTCCCAAGCCACCCATGGGAATCCTCTATTAGCCTCAGAGTTTTTGCTCCACCAAAATTGACAACACACCTTAGCTATTTCCTTACACAGCCCCACTGGCAATACAAAACATGACATTGCATAAACAGGTAAAGCATTTATAACCGCTTTAATCAAGGTTTCTTTACCTGCAGTTGTTAACAATTTATTCTTCCAGTTATGAACTCTCTTCTTCTCCACTGTAATGATATACTTAAAGGCTTCCTTTTTAGATTGTCCCAAGCCCATTGGCAGTCCCAAATATCTGGTTGAGGAGTGCACCTGGGTACCATTCAACAAGGAACACACTCTAGCCTGCAGCTCTGGAGGAGAATTTTTGCTGAAGAATATAGAAGACTTAGCCATATTCACTTCCTGACCTGTGAACTGCTTGTAAACCTGTAAAATGTGTAGAATTCTTTCCACCTGTCTTTCTTCAGCTTTACAAAAGAGTAAAGTGTCGTCAGCAAACATAAGATGGGTCAACAAAGGACCATCTCGAGAAAGCTTAATGCCCTTAAAACAGCCTCTGTCAGATTCATACTTAATTTTGGCAGAAAGCAGTTCAGATATGATTAGGAATAGATAAGGGGATAGAGGGTCCCCTTGTCGAATCCCTCTAGTAGCGTTCACCAAACCACAAGTTCTGCCATTAACATTAAAAGAGAATGAAGGAAATTGAATGCAAGCCATGATCCACTTCACAAATTGGACACTGAACCCCATTCTTAGCATAGTAAGCTGGATAGATTTCCATTCTAATTTATCATAAGCTTTAATCATATCCAGTTTCAAAGCCATAAATCTGTTAGGACCTGTCCTGTGCCTATTAAGAAAATGGAAGACCTCATGGCCAATAATAACATTATCAAGAATATTCCTTCCAGGGAGAAAAGCAGACTGATTTTCAGCAATACACACTTGTAAACATTGTCTCAGTCTTAATGCTAAAATTTTTGAGATTATTTTGTAGAATATTGCACAAAGACTGATTGGACGAAATTGCTGAATAGAGACAGGATTTGGACATTTAGGCACCAAGGTTATGAGAGTGTGTTTCCAATACCTGAGGAGATGTCCTGATTCAAAGAAGCTAATCACAGCTTTGCAAATGTCATGCTTTATCAGAGGCCAAAAATGTTGATAAAATAAACCTGTCATGCCGTCTTCTCTAGGAGCCTTTTCTGGGTGGATACTGAATAAAGCTTTCCTAATCTCTGGCTCATCCACTGGGGCAGTAAGCAATGTGTTCATATCTTCAGAAATTTTAGGCTCAATAAGTGGCAGGAAGAATTGTCCATTGTAGGATCCTTGAGAAGCATACACATTCTGAAAGTAATCAGTAATGACTTGTTCCACCTCAGTTTGTCCCTCCACCCACCTCTAGTTGTCCACTAAGAGTCTATCAATAGTGTTCATCTTTCTCCTCTGAGCCACATAAGCATGAAAAAACTTAGTGTTCCTATCTCCCTCTTTGAACCACAATGCCCTAGCCTTTTGTCTCCAGAAAACTTCCTCAGAAACATTTGCATCATCCAATTCTTTCTGTATTCTATCCCATGCCTCCCAATTTCTACTACCCCCCTTTTTTCTCATTTCCTCCAGCTGCATAGTTAGGTTGGCTATTTTTGTCTTACTGTCAGACTGAAAGAATTTACTCCACTGTAGTAAAGCCTGCTTGGTTCTTTTGATCTTCTCCTTAACAGTGAACATAGGGGTTCCTTGTGGGGGTATATTCTATGCAGAACTGATTACTTGTTGCACCCCATCTTGCTGGATCCACCTCTTGTCAAACTGAAATCTGCTCTTATACTTGATTTCCCCTTCTGTAGTGTCAATCAGCAGCTGACAATGGTCTGAGGAGCTCTTGAAATAACTAGTAACTCTTGTATTGGGAAATAGAGTTAACCAATCCAATGGCACAAATACTTTGTCCAATATTTCTTCCACATAACCCTCTCCAGTCCTGTTGTTGGCCCATGTATACTGCTCACCCCTCATAGGAATCTCCTGAACTCCCATCTGAGCCAGGAAATTGTTAAACCCAAGATAACTATTAGATGGCCTGCTCCTTCCCCCCTTCTTGTCCTCTGGTCTGCAGAGATCATTCCAATCTCCGGCCATCAACCACACATCCCCCCATTCATCCTTCTTGTGAATTTCCATTGGCATTCCCTGACTGCCTTGTTAGGACTGAGATAAATAAAGACTGCCCATATAGCAATCTGAGACCCCTTCTCCTTGAATTGCACCGCTATAAAGAATTGGTCACTACACACCTGCAAAATATCCAGTTCAGGCTTCCACATTAACAAAAGACCCCCATTAAGCCCTCTGGGCTCAACTATATAGTGACTATTCTCAAAACCCAATTTAACACACACAGAAAGAGAAAATTTTTTAGAATTTTTAATTTCAGAAAGAAAAATGAGTCCTAGGTGGTGGAGCCTTAAGACTTCCTCAAGCTGGGGAACTGTAGAGGGTCCACCCAGACCTCTACAGTTCCACACCAGAGACTGTGAGGGCCCTTGAAGGTTGGCCCTCTCCACCTTGCAATTATCATTTTTAGATTTCTTTCCAGGTTGACCATCTGAGTGCTCTTGTTGATGCACTATTTGATCATCACTGAGAGCCCTGCTTCTCTTAGGATTCTTCGATTGTTCTTTCTTGTGGAGCTCTGTGAGAGTCCTCTGTGACTTCCCTTCAATCTTTCATTTTCGTCTTTAAAGANCATACTGTTTGGTGCTTGGTTAAAAAAAAGCCCCCAAATATTTGACCCCTTATAATTAACATACATCAATTCCCAAGCTCCTCCATTAACAACATAAAAACTCTCCATGTCACTCTTGTTCAGTTTCCTCCTCCCTAGGGTTTGGGTTAATTTATGCTGTTTTCTTCTAGGGTTCTTTACCCGCACAATTTTTATTTTATGCCCCATTTTAGTTTCCTAGAAAAAAAAGTACTGATTAGGAGAAAAATAAAACAACTGTACTTTCATGAAAAAGAGCTAAAAGGAACACATTTCTGAGCTGCTTTTTTTAAAAAAAAAATAAAAATTGTTCATCTTTTGTTTGTGGAACTGGGATTTGTAAGTAGCTAGATTTGTGAAACTCTGAGAGCGGAGCCGAAATTGATGATTGATTAAGGTTAGGCAAAGATCGGGTCTTTTGTCAATCCTGGAAGTGTGATGCTTAATTAAGAGTTGCCCATGCGAAGAACAGGACGAACTCAAGTATTTGGCTTGTAAACATGCATTGTGCTAAGCTTGATGACTCCCCCATGTTCCGTAAACAGGTTGTACGCAGCACATATTTGTTTTGGCTGATCTGGTAAAAATCGATTCTTATGAATTATTTTCTGGATTTATTTATCTCCTATTATTTACACCCTATGTGCTGCGGCTGTGCTGATGAAAAAGCTAGTGTCCTCGAGCAACGAGTTGTTCGGAATTGTTTGTTCTACAGTTATGACGGTATAACCAAAATTGAGTTAGTTAAGTTGATCCTTGCTAGAAGACTTGATGGGATTTTTAAAAGGAAATTTTGGTGTATGTTCATATCTTGAAATTATGTTGAGATATGTGGATGTATTTAACTTTGTATCCCACAAGCAATGTTGCAACATGTTAATAGGATAAATTCGATCTTTTGAAATACAAATTAAAGCTTGTTCAGTTGTCTGGTAATTGTTTTGGAGTATCAGAAATTTAGGTAAAAGTAGGCATGCAGATACACCCTCTTGGAGGAAAGTAATAGGATTCAAGTTTTATAACTTTTGATTTACATTTATAATATATACATTCTGTAAACTTGATCTAATTTTGGCAATTTATGAAACGATAGGAGATTTTGAATGCCTTTGACTTGCAATCTTTGTTGTGCTTGGTATGCCATTTATTTCCTTTTTTTTTTTTGGCTAGTTTTCTTAGAATTGTGCTCGTTCTCTCCCTGAATTGAACAGATACAGACCTTGGAGGAAAGCTCTGAAAACTTGGGGGAGAGATGTCTGAAATTTTACAAAGGATGTTGGAAATACACGTGAGGTTACCAGTTGTAATTCTTTGTTTTTTTGTGCTTTTCATGTTTGCATGTCGTTTGGTTTAAAGCATTTTAACGTGGTTAAAACTTTTACCTTTGTAATTAGCATTGGAACTATCTGTCTCTATGTTGAGAAAATAGTTAATTTTCAGTAACTTCAAAACTTCAGAAAATTTGTTGATCCCTTTATTTTTGTCCTTTTAATGCAATTTTGTGTTGTTTAAAGATTATGGTCTTCAACCATGTTGTTCCCGTTGCAGTGAAGGACTTGGTGAGGGATATGATGGAGACATAGCTTTTGCCAGTGCACCAGAAACTTTTGGCGGAGAGCATAATTATCCTATTAGTGTTGCCTTTGGAGGTAACAGAAATGTTCCACACTTCTCCGATAAGTTCAAAGTTTTATGTCCACACGTTCATGCAATCTTTCCACTAGTATTCCCTCGCTTATAAAAATATAGTTGTTTGAGTTGTAAGCTGTAAAATGCTTATGCTTTCAAACGCACGTTCATTTTCGTCAAATATTATGGGATCTAGTTGGAGCTTTTCTGTAGATCAAGTTTATTTTTTCTCCTATTTAAATCAATGACATACCAGTTTTTCTAGTGATAGCTGTTTAGCCAATTAATTGTTAAAGAATTTGGCTGTCCTTTGCACAGCTTGACAATCGTCTAAGAGCAAATTTTAAAGGTGAAATATTAACCTTTATCCTTCTAAAACTATTGACATCAGTTTTTGTAGTGGTAATTGATTAACCATTGAAATTTTTAGTGAAAATGGTAGTCTTTCCCGCCTTTCATACTTTTCTAATGTAAGGTTTATGGTTGAAGTGATTTTATAGCCTATAGCACATTGTATGCCTTTGATCAATAAACATGTATATATTTATTGGTATAAGCCATTTTGTGATCTAGAGACTATATTTTATAAAGGTATTAGAACATTCTATAAATATTCAGTTTGATAGCTTCAGCTATCAGTAGATATCGTTCCGAAGAATTGGCATAGAGCCTGGGTTTTCTTTTTATGCATATTGACAAATTGGCATGCATGATTTATGCTCATTAGGGCAATGTTGAGTGGTTTGATAATGGCTGCCTATTCCTCTACCTTTTTTCTTTTCTATCTACACCATCCGTGGCATCATTTGAAGTGACTTGAATTGACTGAGTCTTTCTAGTGCACACCGTTGATAGAAACCTTAACTACTGAAATTAAATGCCTCTGCAATACCTTATGCCTTAAATCTCTTCAAAATTTTATGATGCTACGTAGTTATTTGCAGCAGTTTCCTTACCAATTGCGGGCATCCTTTTCTTTTGGCGTAATCATATTTAAAAACAAGTCTTCATTAATTGGTTGAGAATCTCCTAATTTTATCTTATGTGAGTTAGATGAGATTCTATTAGCACTTTAATTGACACTATTAATGGGAAAAAATTTGATACCTGTAGGTCCTGTTATAACAAAATTTACTATAGCATTGAGAGAAATAGGGAAGTATAAAGAAGTCCTTCGATCCCAGGTAATATCGTCTTTTGTCTTTGTTGGGGTACTTGTACATGGTGCAGTTTGGTTTCTGCAACTTCTTTTATGTTCTTTTCCTACAAGGCCAATGTCAGTCTTGTTTTATCATGGTAAATAAATAAAAATGGCAAATAAACACACGGGCAAATGATGTTTATTGTGCTTCCATGCATGTAAATGACTCTTTTTGTTTATGTACAGGTTGAACACTTGCTCAATGAGCGGTTGCTGCAGTTTTTTAATTTAGATTTGCATGATGTCAAGGTACCTTATTTTGTAATTCCTTCATATTTACAATTAGGGTGTTACTATAATACCTTTATTTCTTTATCTGCACAGCATTTATGTGGTAGATTCAGATATTTGTATAATTTACCCTTTTGAGCTACTACCTTGTTCCTTTAACTGATCTATGCCTCTGGGAGTGACATGCCCCCTTATCCTCTGACATTATCTTTTAATGCGTGTATCCATAAATCAAGTCGTTTTTTTATTTTCTTTCGTTTTTCCTAATTAAAGCTAGTTTGCAGGAGGCACGGAAACGCTTTGACAAGGCTAGTCTTCTTTATGATCAGGTGATGTTTCATTTTTGGTTCTGTTNTGTTCATAGTTTTAGTTCACATAATAATCTCTTTATTGCTAAATCTTTGCAGGATGGTGTCGATTATAAATTGTCGTGTTGCGATCTAGCCAGTAGATTGGTTTTTGGTTTTATTTTGGAGGGGTAGGGTTTGAGAATGCGCATTGAGCGGCTAGTGAGAAACGTCAAATAGTGAAAGAATTGAGGCGAATTAACATGAGTGTTGGAAGCATTGCTTTTTACCAATTAACATGAGTGTTGTAGCCAAATCCACCATTCTATCATCGTAAGTAAATCTTCTATTTTTTTAGAGTTCTAAAGAAGAAATTGAAGCAAAATAGGTTCATTTTTTACCTAGGTTCAAGTCCAGAAAAAAATAAAAAGAACACAAAGCGAGTAAGTTTTCCAGGAACAAAAAAAAAAGCAAGTTTTCTAGACAAGAAAAAATATCTAAGCCTCTTACTCCAGATTGCCTCTGCTCCTCAGATACACTTCATACGCTTCACCAGCCAGCCTGTTCTGCTCCACCACTGCAATAAGGAATTCCAATTACAAAGATATAATAAATAGTATCTAACTTAATATCGAAGAATACTTATAATGCTTACAAAACCCATTATAAATCTAAATACTAAATAAATCAACCCGAAAAATTACCTAACAAAAAAATATCTAAGCCTCTTATTCCAGATTGCCTCTGCTCCTGAGATACACTTCATACGCTTCACCAGCCAGCCTGTTCTCCTCCTCCACTGCAATAACGAATTCCAATTACGAAGATATAATAAATAGTATCTAATTTAATATCGAAGAATACTGATAATGCTTACAAAACCAATTAAAAATCTAATTAGTAAATAAATCAACCCGAAAAATCACCTAACAAATTAATATATAGCATGAAAAGTAAAACACATAAAAACGGCTTAAGTACTTGTAGATGATACTATTTTTGATGTTTTACACATATGTGACAAAATGTTTGGAGTTCCAAAACTGACTCTTATGATCCTCAATTCTTCCAGAAATAATTCAAACTGTAGAACTCAGTCTACTAATCAGTGCTTGATTTTTGGTGCTTCCAAAAAATATTGAAACCATAGAAGAATCCATGCAATTTGAGATTCAAATAAAAAGAAACTATTTAATAGTAAAAAATAATTGAAACGAGGATATATTTTGTGTTTTACATGTATACATGTCAAAGTTTGGAATATCAGAATTTATTCATTATTATCTTTAATTCCACATTTAAGAATTTTTCCAAAATAGGTAGTGCAACGTGTATGTACTTTCTCTTAATAAACGCGTGACTTTTGGTGCTTCTAAGACCCAAGTATAATTGTAACCAACATCATGCAACATCTTGTGATATTTAATGCAGGTATTAAAAGATATTGACCACAAAGCAATATTGTCTAATAAAGAAAATACTATAGAATACTTGCATAAAAAAGCATAATAAGAGCTGAACAAAATAAATAAAATAAATAAAAGACAAACCACAACAAGACCTATAAGAATATGTAAATAAACAAATCTCAAAGAGTTCTATTAAGTACTCTACATCAAATTACATAAAAATTAGTTAATATAAATGGAGCATAGATAAAACAAAAACCACAAAACATACCAATCTCAAAGAGTCTATTCAAACGGAGAGACCAAAAAAGGAAGCTCATTAGTTACGCATTACAGCCACCCAAATCTTTTAATGTAAATGAAAAATCATAAAGATGGAATTAAAATCTAAAATGATCATTAAATTAAATCCATGTTACATGCTGTGGAAATAAAAACAAAGTATAGCAAAAGAGACAAATAAAGCATAATCAATCGTTCGCCAGGTAATTAGTTCAAGAACGTTTAGTGTAAGGCCCACACAATCCCAAAAATCGAAAATAAAATCAACAAAATAGAAAGAAGAAACAAGATCCAGCGCAATTGCAGCCTGAAGACCCACACAATCCCAAAATTCAACAAAATAGAAAGACGAAACAAGATCCAGCGCAATTGAAGCCCAAAATTCGAAAATCAATTCAACAAAATAGAAAGACGAAACAAGATTATATATAATACATGGAGAGCGATAGAGATGATGCAGAAAAATCTTACGGTTGTTGTGCAGCACTCTGCGGAATTGAGAGGCGGACAAGCGCGGTGGTGCAACCGATAAGCCCTGCTGCCTGGGGACAACAAATCTTGCATCCGCGAACCGTTGGAGTTCTTCTTTCGGGAGTACCACTTCATCACCATTCGGGTTGGCCATAGCAATGTCGAGGACTGCTTCATTCAGGGGCTGGATGTTTCCAGTCCCGGACAGCCTCCTAAACAGGTCAAACGGTGTTTCGCGTGCCCTCAGCATCTGCAGCATTCTGTTAATACGGGCAATTTGTATTTCCTGGCGTGCTTCCATCTCCAAGGAAGTTCTCAAAGCAATGTGGCGGGTGATGGTCCTTGACCCATTGGGAAAAGCTTCCCTCAGTGAGATGAGGGAGGCAATGTCAGGAATGCGACTAAGAAATTCCACGATTGGAAGCGGGAAAACGTACATCACCATTTTCTTTCTGTTTTTTTCTCTCTTCTTAGCAGGTTCCTTATGAAAGTAAGGGTTTTTTAACGTTTCTTTTTTCTTGCAGGGATTGAGAAGAGATAGGGTTGGGTTATGATTTTTGAGAGAGGGTTGGGTTATGGTTTTTGAAAATAAGGGTTATGATTCTTTAACGTTCCTTAATCCTTATGAAAGCAGGAAAGAGATACTGAATTCCTTATGAAAGCAGGAAAGAGACACTAATTCGAAACAGAGCGGGTTTTTGAAGAGAGAGTTGGCCGTTGGGTTATGATTTTTGAGAGTAAGGGTTATGATTCTTTAACGTTCCTCAATCCTTATGAAAGCAGGAAAGAGATACTGAATTCGAAATAGAGCGGGTTATGATTTTTGAAGAGCGTTGGGGAGAGAGAGGGATTTTATCCTCCATGCGTGGGTCGGGCACTACCTTTTCCCTCTTTTTAATGACCAAAACCCCTATATATCTTCTCAACGGCGCCAGAGAAACTACATCGGAAATTCAGCCATACACACGCGCTCATCCGTGTGGGTGTGCGTGCGCCTGATATATGCGTTGTGTCTGGGTGTATTATATGGCACAACTGATATGATGCTATGCTTGAATATCTGTAAGGCATATTTTAGGTTTACAATTTGAAGCTTGAAAAAAATATTTGGGAAAATCCTCTTT